TGCGGATCTAAACCTATTGACTGCAAATGGGTGTTTAGGCGAAAATATAATGTAGATGGTTCTCATAATACCTTTAAAGTTAAATTAGTAGCTAAAGATTATCAACAAAATGAATGAATTAATTAGTTTGATACATATACGCCAGTAGCTAGAATAACATCAATTAGGATATTATTGGCATTAGCATCGATATATAACTTGTATGTTGATTAAATGGATGCTAAAACGACATTCTTAAATGAAGATTTTGATGATAAGGTTTATATGGAAAAACCAGAAGGCTTTGTTCTACTCGATAATGAATATAATCTGTGTAAGTTAATAAAATCATTATCGAGTTTAAAACAAGCACCTAAGAAGTCGCATGAAAAAATTGACTAAACAATTGTCTCTTTTGGATTAGGCATAATAGTGTAGATAAATATTTATATGCTAAAGCATGTGACAAATAGATTGTATTTAATTATTTATATCTCGATGAGGTGTTGATTTTAAGTAATCATAGGGACGGAATAAAAGAAACAAAGAAGTTTCTATCTTACACATTCAAGATGAAAGATCTTGTACGAGTGGATATCATAGTGTATCAAAGTTACAAAGCTAGAAAGGGCTATTATTTAAGTCAATCATATTATATAAAGAATGTGATAAATAAGTTCAAACACTTGAATATAAAAGAGTTTAGTACCTCTCTTGATCCAAGCTCTAAAATTATATAGAATGATGGAAGAACTATTGTTAAATTAGAGTATGAAAGTGTTATAAGTAGTCTTATGTATGAAGTTCAATGCATAAGACTGGAAATAACATTCACAATTAGTAAACTCGGTAGGTTTACTAGTAATCTGAGTAAGGAATATTGAAAAGCTATTGAGAGAGTTCTTGGTTATTTAAAGAAAGCCAAAAACTTAGTTCAACATTATTCCAAAATTTTCAGTGTATTAGAAGGATTTACTGATACTAGTTGGATATTTAGCACTAGTGAAAGTAAATCTACTTTAGGTTGAATGTTTACTCTTGGAGGAGGTACGATTTCTTGAAGATCTAAAAAAATGTATAACACTTTTAACCATGGAATCTAAATTCGTGGCTTTAGCGACACCGAGAAAGAAGTTGAGTGGATTAAGGATTTTCTATATGAGATACCTTTGGGACCCAAGAATAAATTTTCGAAATTTATTTTATGTGATAGTCAAGCTACATTAGCCAAAGCATTCAATGAGATATACAAAGGAAAATCTAAATATACGAGTCTAAGACATGAGCATGTAACAATGAAAATTTGGCGGATCATCTTACTAAACCTCTTAATAGAGATTTAGTAATATCAATATCGAGTAGAATGTGGTTGAAACTCCTAAACAAATAAATAAATAAGATCCATAAATGGCGACAACCCTACGTGCCATTTCTAAAACAGTACTTCACGAGTTCAAGGGTAACAATAAGTTATTCGATAAGTGGATAGCTTTAGAATTGTTATTTTCACACAAGAACCCTATCGTAATCTAATAATGCTGATTGTTACTTAAAAGATGGTGGAGCTTTAAACTATTAATAAAGTTCAATACTAAGTAAAAATATCTCCGACTGTAACAAAGATACTAGATGAGTTTCACCTAGATAAACTTCGAGGTGGTGCCGCATCAATAGAGAGTTGGAGTTTCTCTTTTAAAAGTTCAATGAATAAGATGAGCACAAGACCATATTAGCGATAAGAAAGTTTGAGAGACTTGTGAACTCGTGACAGTTGTACGTGTGTTTTCACCGGTATCATCATAAGGAATATGTGGTTCAAAGCTATCATGCTACCTGAAATTTCGATAATACTTACTGAGATTTACACTCTGGTTAGATTTAAATCGAAAGATATCTAATCCTTATTTATTAAGTGTTGCTGATTTGAATATGTGATTAATATAATTTTAAACAAGTTGGGGATTGTTATATGGGTGTTTCTATTCGTATAGGGGCTTTTGACGTACCTCAACCCCTGATTTGAGAATCTCAAATCAGGGGTTGAGGTACATGTATCTCAATCCTTGTCAAAGCCCATGTCAAACAGCTCCTGTACAAGAAGCTTAATACTTGTTATATAATTGTTCAAAAATCATAATATATCACAATTAGGCTTTGAAGTGGAATGAATTGATTATAATGGAAGATGGTTTCCATTTTGCCAATGCGAACTATGGCCATGCAAACACATGAGCTACGCCTGTAAAAACTACATACATTTTGTGTGAACCATGCCATGCGAGAATGAAACTCGTCGTTAGACCAGTTTCACAAATTGAATTTTTGGTGCCTTTTGGTGAAATTTTTTCAACTTTTCATGAATGTTTGGTACCATTTCTTGGTGTATGAATGAAAATCTATAAATAGGACAGAGATTTTTATTTCTAAACACTTAATACAACAATTCATTCCATCTTTTATTTCTAAACACTTAATAAAACAATTCATTCCATACAAGAAAGAGATTTCTTCAATCCTCAAAATATGTTCTACCTCATTTTGTGTTCTACAAGTTTTGGAAGATAAACACTAGTGCCTAAGTATTTTCTTCTTCAATCGTGTAAATCATTTTATGCGAGTCCCTTTAAGTACCAAATTATCCTAGATGGGAAAAATATTGTTTAAGAACAACGATTACGTATTTGAGCCTTATTACCATGTTTTTTTTTTTATGTTATTGATATATATATTTTATTTTGTTCTCTACTCATATTCTTGAATTATATTACAACAAAATCCATCCCTAAGATTTGAAATTCAAAATTGCATACTCAACCATGGATCTAAATCCAGCATCTCTTTGGATCTGAAATTCGAAATCCAGAACAAAGGTTTTGAGATTGTTTTTCTGAATTTTTTTTAATTACTTTTTTAATTTAAAATTCATTAATTTCATGTTTGGGTTGCGTTAATGGTGGTGGTTCTGATGACGAATTTGGTAATTTCTTTGTAGTAACTTTAAGTAGATGGGTGGGTGATGGTGATAGTGTAAGAAAATCTCCAAGAAACTCTTTAAATACAAAATACTCTATATTTTAGAATCAATTCTTAAAAATAAGTTCCAATTTTTTTTATTTTAACTTTTAAAAATAAAGAGTGTGTTTGACTCTTCAAATTTGGAGTCAGACTCACTCTCTGTTTTTAATTAACAATTATTACATTTAATAAGTTATAAATTTCAATTCTCTGCAATTTGAATTATTCAAATAACATTTGAATTCATTGGCCATTAATATATTAAAAAAAATTAGGAAAAATTGCAGAGGCAATCCCAAACCTTTTCATGTTTTTCAGACTTTACTATAACCTTTGTTTTGTGTTAGCGGAGGTCCCAAACCTTTCAAAAATAAGTGCCGAAGGTCCAAATGAATCATCCATTTAACAATTAGTTGACCCAAAAAGTCAAATATTTAATTAATTTTGACCAAACTGATAAGGGCTAAATGGTCATTTGCATTTTTATCATATTATGGTAAGTTCAAAAAATGACTTAAAAATCCCAAAAATAATCGGATGTGCAGATGCGTAACTGCTTACAATAGTTTTGCTGCCAGAGTTGTTTCTGTACAAGGTATTGCTGATCCACTTTTAGACGAGACTTTGGGGGTTCGCGAGGCCCTTTCTTGGATTAAAGCTAAATTTCCTGAGGTTCAAACCATTGAAATGGATGCCCTTCTGGTTTATAGTGCTCTACAGAATAATGAAGAGGACAATTCTTATTTTGGTATTCTTATCAAAGAGTGCCGTCTTCTTGCTAGAGAATTATCAAATCTCAAGTTCAGTTGGGTTAGGAGATCGGCTAACTAAGTAGCTCACACGCTTGCTAAGGCCGCTAGCTCATCACATGTTAATGTTGAATGATCTTATTTTCCGCCTTTGTTTATCTCAAATGTACTGCTTGTCGATTTGATGAATGAATAACTTTATTTCCCTAAAAAAAAAAAAGGCTCAATATTTAGCCCCTATTTGGATCACATTATTTTTTTCATTCTCATTCTTCTACTCATTTTCAACCACACATTCTTCAATAAAATAATATTTTCCATCACATCATTTTTTTTTCAACCACATATTTCCCATCATATCAACAATAAAAATACATTCTTTTAAACAATACCTTTTCTTGGTTCAATCGAGCACACTGGCATAACTAACAAGAAGCCAGTTGATCTTGATGCGGTCTGAACTGATACTGCTTTCAGAATTTCCCATTCGAGGATAACTCGAGAATGCTCTACTAGTTTATCATAGAGTTCCGACTAACTAGAAAAAGATTCTTTTAACATCTGAAAGGAACTAATCGATGAAGTTCATACAGATCCATACCCTTTCGAGAGAAATTGTTACAGACAGAACTCTTGATCAAAGAGTGCATTTATATACTTGACGTTTCTCAAATATTGGCCTTGGAAAAAATGATGTTTGTATCAGTACATTTCCATTTCAATAATTCAAGGAAGATGTCAATCAGTTTTAGTTTAGCCGTAATTGTTTCAGCAATGCATAAAAGAAACTTTTGTCGTCGCTTCTAAATAAATTTCCAAAATGGCATATATGAACATCCCTCGCTATGATTGATATTTATGGTTTCTTTACACACACACACACACATCTATATATATATATATAATAAATACGTATAAACTTGTGTATGTATAGTAGCAAATCCAGGTTGGATACAGAGAGAGAGAGAGAGAGAGTGAACTTCTTTCACAATAGTCATTTCATTCTTCACCGCTGTTTCTCTTTTAGGAACCACCAAAACTCAGACACTGACTGCAACTAAATACACTCACACACACATCAAGATTTATATATGTTATAAACAAGTCCCTCACTTGAAGAAATTGGGGGGATTTTGATATCAAGAACCAGATACTTGACTTCAATTGTTTGCAGGATTTTGATATCAAGAACAAGCGTTTATATAAAGATATAAAGCTTTGATTGTGGCTAGGTATTTTAGACAGAATCTAACAAGGATGCGTAGCATGGCCAGCTCTGCCTCGTCCAAGGGCATCGCAGCCATTGTCGGCGTCGGCCCAAAGCTTGGTCGTTCCATCGCCCGCAAATTCGCCCATGAAGGTTACACTGTCGCCATCCTCGCCCGCGACTTAGGCCAGTACCTCCTTATATATATATATATCATTTTTGTCTCTATATATATATATGTGTGTGTGTGTTTGGGTGTATAAAGTGTGTAATTTTATGTACTTAATCAAGACAGGTAGATTGTCAAAATTTGCTGATGAAATAGCTAGAGAAGAAAAGGCACAAGTATTTGCAATCCGAATCGATTGCTCGGATTCTCGAAGCATAAGAGAGGCATTTGAAGCGGTTCTTTCATTGGGTTTTGTTGAAGTGTTGGTTTACAATGCATACCAACCAATTTCAGGCCAACCCAACAATTCTACTGACATTAGAGTCGATCATTTTGAGAAATCCGTTGCAGTTTCAACTGTCGGCCCCTTCCACTGTGCCCAACAGGTTCGTATAATCGAATCTGATTTGATTGCACTTTTCCTATTAGTCGTGACTACTTTTGATGGATTCGATCTTGATCATCAGGGTTTTGAATTTGGGAAATTTTTTATGACTATTTGGGTTATGATTTTGTGCATGGAATGGAAATGGGAATTTCAGGTACTTCCAGGCATGGTGGATAGAGGGAGAGGGACAATTCTCTTTACTGGTTGTTCTGCTTCTCTTAACGGCATTGCTGGTTACCCCAACTTGAGTAAGTTAATAAACTTACGCCGAATAAGCTTGGTACACAGTACGGAACAAGATAATTTGAACCGGCTTATAGAGTATGTGGTTATTAATGTTATTTTGATTGATACTACAATGTTTTTAGGTTGTGGGAAGTTTGCAACGAGAGGGTTATCACAATGCTTGGCAAAAGAGTTCCAACATCAAGGAGTACACGTGGCACATGTCATCATCGACGGCATTATCGGCGCACCTAGTTTGTCCAGGTTCAAACTTTTCTCCTCTTATATATGCATATTAGGAAATTACATTAGCTAGGGTGGACTGAAATTATTTTAAGGTGTGTTTATAATATATAAGAAAAATCTACAAATGAATGTATATGACGTGTCACCAATACTTAACATAAAAGGAGCACCGGTGCTCAGTAGATAAATGGCATGTATATGAAATGATCAACGGCCTATAGTTTTTTATCTACTTGCCAAGAACCATACAAAAGATTCCCGATCCACAAGATTTTGGATTGTGCTATGTGTACACAATATTTTACACTCCCTCACATGGAGACCCCCACACAATAAAATATTTGTGGCCCCCTCCATCCCCTCCATGTGAGGGGGGTGTAAAAGATTGTGTATACCACAAGGTATACACATAGCATTATCCCAATATTTTAGTATCTTTTCCCTTTTTACACAAGTCCATGTGCAATTATGTGGATTTTCTTATCAAATAGAATATAAACATACATAATAAATACATACATTTATAATTTTACAAAGTTTCCCTTTTTCCCCCCATTATGGGGAGACACTGCCAAGATAAAACAGATTATGTATATTGTAGATTATTGTAACAATGGTCATAAACGAGTTACCTTGAATGTAATTATTGATCACAAGTGTTAAGATAAACTTGTATAATGTTGGACAAATAGCGTTAAGATCGTCTGCCTTCAGATTAGCTTAGAAGAAAGTATTTGAACTAAGTCAGGAATTTAGTATGGCTGAAGTCGTAAAGATTTAGGTATAGATGGTTATTTCTTGGTTTAGATTATTCGTGTCATTTTGGTTTAGTGAATGAGAAGCCAAGAAAGGTATAGTTAAAGCCACCGCACAGAAGCATGTATTTCTAAGCTAATGTAGCCTGTTTGGGAGCGCTTTTTAAACTAAAAAATGGCTTTTTGAACCGTTAGAAGGAAATAAGGCAGCCATTGTTGACTTTTGGTCTCACAGGTGGGACCCACCAGTTGAAAAAAAGGGTCATTTTTTAGCTTAAAAGCTGCTAAAATTTTCTACCAGACAAGTCCGTAGTTAACATCGTCCGGGGTTTTGATGTAAGAAAGCATGAACGCTACTCGTAGCCTCATCGTGCATTAATAGGCTTTTTAATGTTAGATGACAAATCAATATGAGACATTCTAAGATATGCACCCAAATACGCTAACCTGCCTTGAAGGATGTTTTTGATCAATCCTCGCGATGCACATTAATGGAAAGTTTGTATCTTTGATCATAGGTTGTGCTTTCTGAGAAGTGTTGTATTGTGAGTTATGTGTAGAGTACTATTCCAAATGGCCACAATGTAAAGGGGTAAAACACAAAAGAGCCTAAGGACAATTATTACTTAATCGAGTGACAACTTTATTTTATTCGGTCTAAAATACTTTGGTGCATATTTTACAAACAGTCTCACGACGTGAGTACATCAATCCATGAAATCTCACTGTCGGTTTATATAACTCGATCTTGCAACATCATGCACATAGGTCCATAATACCCTACTACAAATATGTGTGGCATACTAGCAACTTATGATGATGAATAATTGACCAAGTGGTTGATTACTTATTGCTTACCAATTGTGTAAACTTGGCAGGGGGTTTACGCCATCGACGTCAAGGCATAGAACAGTCGGTAAACAGCCATACAGTGGAGACGACGGGTGTATGGACCCAGACGCGGTGGCTCAGACCTATTGGCACTTGCATATTCAGGATCGATCTGTCTGGACACAAGAAATCGACCTACGTCCCTCCACCCTCAAACTTCATTAAGCCAAAAAATTCCGAACTTATTCCTACTTCATTTCTCTTTTCTTCGAGTATTGCATAATCTTGAGTGGAAACAATATGTAATATAGACTCATTAGTTTGGTTGTGTGTTGAGTTTTTGCATTCAAGTTTCTGGTGGATAGCATTAATATATATGATGTGATGATTGACGGTTCTTGTACCTTAAAAGTGTACATTGATGTAAGACTTGAGTATTTTAATCAATGTTTCGAAAATCAGACCGGGCCAGCTACTTCGACTTAAATAATCTGATGCCGGTCCAATTGCTGATTAATTCCGTGGAGTAAAAAAAAAACTAGCTGTCGACCTGTGATTGGTTTTCACAATTTTTTTGGTTTTTTATTTTTATCTGAAAAAGGTCTTCTTTTTTAACAACTTAAGGTCTACAATAGTAAAAACGCTGCTTCTCTAACATAGTATAATTGATACACTCCAATATTATTCTTCCTAGAAACTCTCCTCAAATCTCAAAAGTTCAAAAACTTAACATGACCTTCATTTTATGTTTGTCATTTTCTGTAGTATATTTATTTATTTTACACCAATGGGTCCAACCTTATTTCTATATGATTTGGCCTTTTTATAATGACATTTGTCTTCTCAAAGTCGATGTCGGGTCTATTTTCGAAACATTAATTTTTATCAATCATGCTACATGTATATTATTATTTACATCATTCTCTACATTTTGCCACGTAACAATACAATATTGAACAATTTTAGAAAAATGAACATTTTCTCTCCAATCCTTTTTCACCAACACATCAAATGTCATGCTTGATGTATACTTGGAGTGTACATCTAGCATTTTTGTATTTTTATTTATGCATAGGTTCGATGATTTTTTTTTTTTGAACTTTTTCATTTGAAGTATATAATATTTTAAATTTTAAAATTATTTTAAAGTTAACCAAAGGGGCTATCCTTTATTAATCTTGTGTCCTTTATGAGGATTCCAGGGCCTTCAAATGGTTAGGATAATGGGACAATGTTGGATGGACAAAAAGAAAATTCGTGTTCTAATTTAGTACACAAAATGTATGCAAAAGTTGGATATCTATGAAATCTCAAGTTCTCAACCATGACTGTACCTAAACAACAACAGTCTCTCTCTCTGTCTCTCTCTCTCTCTCTCTCTCGACATTGCACATGATAGATGGTACCCTAGATTGAAAAGTTCGATTTGTATCTACCCTTGTGTTGATGGAGTAGGAATACTTAGACAATCCACAATTAGAGAAAATTAAACAATGCGATTAAGCTCCACATAATTTAACACAATATGAGAGCGAAGAGATATGGTAACAAGAATACGACTATATTTTCACAAGTGTGAAACTAAACTTGATTAACTTGTAGGTCATGGCATCATGCCATAAAATTGGAAATAATCACTTACATTCAACTCATATTTTTAGCAAGGTTAATTGCATTGCAGTTCGACTTGACTATAGGATTGAATTTTAAAATATGTAGAGCCTATTTGAGCCCAATTTTCTTTCTAAAAATACATTTTGGAATAGCATTTTAACAGCAAATATGTAGTTAAAAAATAAAGAAAATTTTTGGATTTACGTATAATATTATTTATTGAAGAATGTGGTGTTGAAAATGTGTGTGTGTGTGTGAGAGAGAGAGAGAGAGAGAGATGTATTTTGAAAATAATGGGAGCTTAGTATTTTTTTAAGGCAAAATTTCATATTACTCTATTTAATAGGAAAAATCAACTTATAGGATTAAATTCAGGCTGTATTAGAAAACATGTCGTTTAGTTATACTTAACAAATAAAGTTAAAAGACTTGCTTTTCTTTACAGAAAGGTAAGTTTTGTCTGTAAAATAATAAGTTTTAACTTACTTTGAAGCACAAACAGACATGCAAGTTGTGTATGATTAAAGGTGCAAGGAAAAGACATGAAAATACTGTACAAATACCATACTCAGGTCTGTAAAGTAAGGAAGAAACTATATGCTTTCCATTGTCATTTTGAGCAGCTAAGCTCATAGAATATCTGAAGTCCTGTCTAACAAGGAGTTGATGGAGATACACTGAATGAAAACGCCATAGATTTTTCAATGCAACATTTTGATAAGAAAAAAACATGAAACAAACTGGTTCATATGTAAGATAACAACAATAATCTGCTGTTACCAAAAATCAGGAAAAAATGCAGAGCTCTATATCCTGCTATATCTGTCTATATGGATTAGCAGGTGACAGATAAGATGGTGCTTGGGCATTCATCAATCTAGGGAAATGATCAATCTTTCTTGATTGAGATACACGATTTTGATGTGGACGAGTGTGGTAAATGTACCTGCCATGGGCAAATTCTTGGGATTCTGAAGCAGATGCCAAAACAGAATGGGAGAAGGGGTGGTAATTGGGCAATTCGATCGCAGATACAGAACCTCTATGAGAAGGGAAGTGATAATATCCTCTTCGGTTGTAAAGGTCTGAGTCGAAGTGGTGAAAGTCTTGGGAAGGATGACGAGTATATGGAAAAGATGGGGTTTCTTGAACTCGATTGGGTTGGATTAAATTTCCATGTTTCCAATTATATTCGGGACCTCTGAAATCTACCTTCTGTTTATTCCGCGTTTCTTTTGTTCCAGATGGCGCTACATGATTGAAAAGCTTGTGGCGCTTCTTACCTGATCATCAGTTAACAATACATACACTGCTATATGAGAAACACTTGAGGCGAACAATCAACACCTACCCACCTCCAAAACAGAAAAATGAAAAAGTGACCACGCCATTTAAATGTATGTACCTATGTTTGTATAAGATTTATTTGTCTTCTTTTCAGCTTTTGTCTTTCTCATAGCTCTTAAGCTTCTTGCTGCTGCTCCTCGTTTATGCTTCTCAGCAAGTACATTCAATCTTTCTTTTTCATTATTCCAGCGCTGGATAATGAAAGTTTATGAGGACTTGATCAGAAAGTAACATGTTATTCTGATTGGTCTGGATCAATTCACCTGTCTAAATGTCCTCAATTTGTAGAGGTTCCTGCCTTTCACAAGCAGAGAGAAAAGTGTAGGCAGTTTCTTGGCTCCCTTGCTCCACAGCACTTCAACCTAGTTTAACGATAGAAGAATCAGAAGGAAAAGAAAGCACCGAGAGCATAAACAAGATCATCAAGAAAAATCAAAAAGTTCGGCATTCATAATAGCTAAATCTGTACGATTTTCAAGAAGTAATGTTGTATAATCTAAATTAGCCTTACTGTGAAGGTGTGTTGTTGTTTGGCAGCACCATAATTTTCCTTTACAATCCTCCCGACAACAGTCCTTCTCCCAAGAGGGCTTCCACGCCTCGTCATTTTGTCAAAACTGTCCAAAAACAATTTTGCCCATTCAAGAAGAAATAAAGTGGAAAATCAAATTTTATATATTTTATAAAATGAGAGAGTAAAAATCAGCGATACTTCTTATAGACTTTCTGATTGAACAAAACGACATCTCCCTTGCATACGTCACCTGGACAAATTGGAAAAGCACTTAAATGAAGGGAAATAGAAGTGCACGAGATAAATCAAAATATGTACAAAATGAAAAAAATAAAGTACCAGTGCAATCAATGGCAAATGAGGATCTTGGATACAAGGCTTCACAATTTCTATCTTTTATCCTAAAAATAAAACTCATATCAAAAGTTTCTTCAAATCCCACAAAAAGAAAAAAGAAAAAAAAGGAAAAGAATATAACAATTTGGAGCTGTAAATTTCATTTGTACAAAAATTGTACATCTGCCCAATCAAGGCACCCTGCATTTCAGCAGACTGCAGACTATATCAGACTCAGAAGACCGACCTTGTATATTTTACTACAACTTGGCATATTTAACACTTAAACATGCAATATTTATGAAATTTTATTTGACCAAAAATACAACATCAAGTTCTTCTGAGAGCTAAACTAACACAACTGAGAGTTATGAATTCAGTTGAGAGGTTTACATAGCCTCATTTCCGTTGAAAGATTGATGAATTGAAACAGGTTCACTGATTTGGAGGCATCAATATTCTATATAAACTAGTTGCTCGCTCATCTCTCGTCCATGGCCCTCGTCGGGGGGCCATAAATCTATTAATCCCAGTCCGGTTAGGGCAATGAGGGGAGTTGGAGATAGGACATTAAAGCATGATCATCATAAGTTTATAAATGAAAGAATTGGATTTGGGAGTCATGGATTATATCGATCTAGCAAAAAAATTTGTTGGCGTGTGAATGGTAACTGTTAACATTTACCGAGTTTCTGAACAACTTAAATAATTACTTAATGTCAGTGCAGTTGCAAAAGTAGGAATCGTGAAAGTTAAGAGCAGACTGCAGAGGGACCAGGGTTGCTAGAGAAGCAGAAGACTTAAATATAGCACAAAAATCTAAATAAAAGTAAAAGGATTAGTTAATGATCCCCCTTGTGCATAATCAAAGCAAGAGTACTTTCAGCCGTTTTACATCACAGTGGCCATTCCCTCACAGTTTTCCTTTCCCGACTTCATTTATAGGTGAAATTTCTCACTATTACCTACTTATCTATTTCAAGAGGACATAACATCTTGCAACGTGAATTCACAATTGAGAAACTTTAACCAAATATCACTTCCAAAAACAAAAGATTAAAACTCTCATCTGATAATAAAGCTTTGATTCATTCGATTTGACCATAAGATGATCAGCTAGTAGGTCTAATGTTGAATTCCCACTAATAAATGGCTTATTCCATTCAAGAGCAACAGATGATAAAACTCATCATAAAGCTACACAGACTATTTAAATATTTCATGCTGAATGAGATTACCGACCTCCAGTGCTCCTTTATTCTCTCTATGCACTCGGCTTTGGTTCCGGATAATCTCAATACATGCCTCCGTAAATATGCTTTACATTCGATTAAGTTCAACTCTTGAAGATCATTTCGCTCTGCACAAAACATAAAAATAAAAAATAAAAAAATGATCCCTATGCCAATATTATTCATCTGATTACTTCAGCATGCTCTTAAACTACATCATCCCTAATTAAAATATAAACTAGTGAATTCTAATTCACACTGAATACTTATTTTGGTAACCAAACCTCGAAGTAATTTAATCACTCTATTACACATGGATTCATCATTTTCTTGAACATGGGTCTTATCATCATCATCATCATCATCTTCTTCTTCTGTTTCTTCATACTCTGATTCATTCCATTCACTCCCATCAACATCGTCATTGTCATCATCATCCTCACTGAACCATAAAATCAAAACAAATAAATTCTAAACAACAAAACCTAATGAAAAAGGGAGATAATTTCTAAATATACACAATTAGGGAATTGAATATTAAAGATAGCGAGTCGTATAATACCTAGAATTCGAAGAACTGATCTTCTCAACAGCGTCCTCAGCGTTTTCAGACTCGGACGAAGAAATTTCAACAAAAGTGCGTTTTTTGTAGGATTTCATGTCAATTCAATGATGAAAGGTATCGAAAATGCCTTTTTGAGGGGAAAAAAAATCCCCAACATACAATTGCAGCGATGAATTGAAAATAATTGGAAGAATTTTGTAATGTGACGAGAGATCAGAGATGTAAATGCAAAAAATGCTTATGAAATCCAAATAGTATTCTTTAAATGTATATTTAAAAATATAAAGTTTGAACAGAAGTATTTACACGGGAACAAGAATCGAGCTTTAAAGGTTCAAAAGTCAGGTAATAAATATTATATATAATATATTATAAAATTAAATTAATCTACATCCCAACCCATCCTCGATTTAACTCTAGAACTCTAAATTTTTTGCCTAATTCTTCTCTCTAACAACAGCGAAAGACGGTGTCATGCATTATGCTACGCACGGTGCTGTGCGATCGCTCGCCTCACGACACTATGCGATGTTGTTCAACTGCTCAATAGCGACGAGCGTCGGTGTCGTGCACGACGCTGCACGTGGCGCAGTTAGCGTCGTTGCAAGAAGCGGTTATGATGTTGCTGCACCGGTAGCGACTATGGAGTTTTGGAGTGGTTTTGGATCTAATTCGATCTAGCACTTAGATGAAAGTTCGTGGTGGTTTATGTTTGTAGTTTTTGGTGTTGTATAAATGGTCGTGATGGTGAAGTGGATATGTGAACTACGCACAATGACATGTTATCTGTGAACTGTTATATGTAACCTGTAAACTGTTATTTGTGATATTGATCAAATGACCTTTGACCAGTTCTTTTGGATTTGTGATTTGTAAACATTGATCTATTATTTATGCAATATAACATGTGACCTGTGAACTTGAATCTGTAACATGTTATCAGTGCACAAAAATATGTGACATCTAATTTGAAATCAATTGATATTGATCTGTGACCTATACAATACAACCCGACCTATAACCTATGAAGTGTAACCCTGTGAATTGTAAAATGTGACATAAATCAGTGATGTGTGTCTCGTGAATATTGATCCGTGACCCATAGATATTGACCATAGATATTGATTTGTAATCTATGCACAATGACACGTGATATGTGAACTGGTCCCATGAAATGTGACATGTAACAACCGCACATTGAACTTTGATAATCTGTGGTGGACGCAGAGATTTTGCGTTAGGGCACAATTAAACTTTCTAAAAAAGTTGTGAGGAATTTTACATTCGAAAATTTATATATATATAAAAAATACCTCATGTAAATTTATATCGAATTTTACATCCGAAAATGTACATAGGGTAAGACTTTTTCGGATGTAAAATCTCGAAATTTTTTGATGTCATGCCCCCATGTAAAAATTCCTAATAAAATGATGTTAATTATATTGAAAAATTTATCATGCAAAAATAATCATTGTTAATGAAATAATTGAAATTTTTTAAAGAAAAGACGAGTTAGACACATCTTTTTAAGACGTACGTTTGACGCACCTTTAATTATTTTCGATATTTGTTTGGGCTATTCAATATTCAATATGTCTATGGTGTATTTCTTGAAATGAGTTTCGAGATTTTTTAGATTTAGTATGTTATTGAAGTTTTTGAAATATTAGTTTGAAACAGCATATTTTGACAAGTCTAACATTTGTTACAGTTGGCTGCTTCGCACCAATGTAGAAGACTAGGCCGTAAGTATTTCGAAATGGTATTAAGAATGCAATATTTCGATTTCGTTTGACATTCCGTAATAACTTCTAAAAAATGAAATTTGCCCAAAAGTAGGGATGGTCACATGACCCCCTCCCCCGACCACCCCCTGTGCCTGTCCTTGTTGACATTGAATTAAGAATTGTAAAAATGGACATATGATTTGTGCAAATGAACGTGTAACCAATAACATTTAATAGTACACTGTGAGCATGAAAGCACCGCCAACAAGAGCAACAACACCACTCCATCACCTTGGGCACCATCACCACTCCAACGACCAACAAAAGGAAGAAGCAGCGGTTTTAAATTCCTCCACCAACCATCAACAAAAAACGATAGCCAACCACAACATAAACCACAGTAAAACTTTGACTAAGCAGTCATCGCTGATTAGTCTGCTATCGATTCCACCTTATTCCACCAAATTGTGCACAATGGCCCCCAATTGATTTTATAAGATTTTTACATTTTGCGGGAGAAAGAAGATCGATAGAGAGAAGATAGAAGGTAGATAGAAAGAGGGTGTTTAATAATATTAAAAAGTGAATTTTGGCTTGATTTTTGAATAAGCAAACCTTAAGCTTGATTTTTGAAATGCAAATCTTCAAAAACTTGCCTCCCTGTAATTTTCATTATTTATACTTGTAATCAATAAATCCATTGGAGATGAGACATGGTAAATGGTGTTGGAATTTTGTATTGGAAATTGGTTGTGACCAATTGAAATGATTTAAGTGAAAATTCCTTGTTTGGTGAATGAGAAATTAAGCCAAACTTAAACCACTTAATACTTGAAATTATTGGAATTGTGTAGAATATTGTGGAATATTCTAGAGAATGTAGATGAAAAGATGTGTCTTTTCATATGGATCATG